CCTGCAGGTAGCCACCGCACACGCAAGTGGCTTATGAAGACAGCACGCAGGCCTGCAGGTAGCCACCGCACATGCAAGTGGCTTGCTGTCCATGCTATCCAGCCTACCCATCATGGAGACTGCTCTCCTCAAAACCACTGTACAGACTCAAGTCACTGTATCCTCTCTCCACTTTCAGAAACCAGGGATGCTGACTCCTAGCTGTACTAGACTGAGCTGCCCCATTACAGCTGGTCTCTAGGTGGGTGATACCCTTCAGGATGCTCTTCTACTGTACACACAGTGCACCCCACCCCCCATATCAGCTCCTGTGGTGGTTTGAATAGGTATGGCCCCCATAAACCCATGTGTTTGAATGCTTGGCCAGTAGGGAGTGGCCCCAAGTCGTAAGTAGCCTTTTAGTTAAATTGTAGTAACTTAACTACTTGTGTGTGTTAGTCTTACTTTCTGTAAACTGTTATAGCATAAAAGCTTGAGGCCCTCTTTGTGCTTGTTCAATAGCTAGTTGCTGCACACTCAGGGAGTTATGGGACCATGGCACACAGAGCCCCTTGGGCTTGAGCGTTAGTGTGGTTGTCTGTGTCATTATGCATCCTAGCTTGGGGGTTGCCAAGCACTTAAGACTGAATGGACTACTTCTGCTTTTCTTGTCTACAATCCCACCTCCTTCCTAGGATTTGATTGAGGGTCCTTCACCCTCTTATGTTCTCAGAACAACCTTTCTCCAGAGTTGTTTGGATAACTGAGCAGCAAACTTTGATCTTCATGGCTCTGCTGTTGGGTCTTTTCTGGCTTACTCTGGACTGTGTCTCAGCCGCTGGAGCTTGTCTCTTGCCTATTCCTCCTCTGTAGCTCCTTCTGTGTCTTCTGTTTCTGAGCCTCTCTGTAAACTCAGTGAAACGAGCCAGGTACAGGGAGCATGCATGCATGCGCGCGCACGTGCACACACACGCACGCACACACACACACGCACACACACACACACACACACGAGTCCATAGCAAGAGACAGACAGTAGGGTGAAGGTTTCCAGGGGCTGAGGAGTCTATTCATGGAGATGGAGTTGGCATTAGGAAGATGAGAGTTCTGTGGATGAACAGTGGAGGCTGCACAGTACCAAGTATGCTTCCTGTACTGACCTATGAGCTTAATGTAGGGCGTCCAGTCATGGATGGTGTACACCTTTAGTCCTAACACTCAGGAAGCAGAGGCAGGAAGATCTCTGAGTTCAAGACCAGCCTGGTCTATAGAGTTCTAGAATAGCCAGGGCTACATAAAGAAACCCTGTCACCCCTCTCCCCCTCCCAGTAGCACAGGGAGGAAAACAAAAAGATAGCTTAGCCAACAGATTTCTAACACCATGTTCCTCTAGTGACCGTGCCTTAGTGGTCTATTGCTATGAAGAGACACTATGACCCAGGCAGCTCTTATAAAGGACAACATTTAATTGGGGGCTTGCTCTTACTTAGTTGGGAGCTGTCTGGCTTACAGTTCAGAAGTTATTATTATTGTCATGGTGGGAAACATGGCAGCATGCAGGCAGACTTCTGTATCTTGATCCACAGGTAGCAGAAGGGGACTGTCTGTTACACTGGGCGTAGCTTGAGTGTAGGCGACTTCAAAGTATCCCCCTAAAGTGACACACTTCCTCCAACAAGGCCACATCACCTAATAGTGCCACTCCCTACTGGCCAAGCATTCAAACACATGGGTTTATGGGGGCCATACCTATTCAAACCACCACAGGAGCTGATATGGGGGGTGGGGTGCACTGTGTGTACAGTAGAAGAGCATCCTGAAGGGTATCACCCACCTAGAGACCAGCTGTAATGGGGCAGCTCAGTCTAGTACAGCTAGGAGTCAGCATCCCTGGTTTCTGAAAGTGGAGTGAGGATACAGTGACTTGAGTCTGTACAGTGGTTTTGAGGAGAGCAGTCTCCATGATGGGCAGGCTAAGCAAGATTGTAATCCATCTTTCCAAACATTTTAAATAATTCAAACTATAAAAAATGTTTTAGTTACAATCTTAGCTTCCAGTAAAAGCTAAGAAATAGAGAGATATGTGACAGGCAGGAGAGAGGATTATCTGTGGTAATGACTGCACAAAGAGGATGTAATTTCTACCCTAGCTTGTGACATTTGCCACCAGTGACAAGTTTTTTTTTTTTATTTTTTTTATTTTTTTTTTTAAATATTTATTTATTTATTTTATTGATGAGTACACTGTAGCTGTCTTCAGACACACCAGAAGAGGGCATCCAATCTCATTACGGATGGTTGTGAGCCACCATGTGGTTGCTGGGATTTGAACTCAGGACCTCTGGAAGTGTAGTCAGTGCTCTTAACCGCTGAGCCATCTCTCCAGCCCCCAAGTGACAAGTTTTTAATCAATAAAATCAGCTAAGGTTGAGCTGTGCCTGCCCTCCCACGTGATCAAACCCAATGCATCTCAGGGACTTTCCAGAGCTCTCAAAGGGTGCAGCCAGGGACTTTCCACCCTGCATGCCTACAAAGCCACATGGCACCAAGCCCATGGCCTGGCTGCAGTCCCTGGCCATCAGTCAGAGGCCCACACAGTCAGTGACCTCCAATACCACAGGCCTGGAGGTACAGAAATCTCGGAGGAATCTAGAGCCTAACACAGGCCTGGGAAGAATTATTCCAGCTGCCCCAGAGGTCTCTCAAAACACCTTCAAGAGCAACCAGGTTTATAGGCTCCATGCCCTTACACCCACACTTTCCTGCATCCACCCAATTCCCTGACCATGTTACTTCCCTAGGAGCCATCTCTTTCACAGACAACACTAAGTATTTCCCTTTAAGGATCTAGTGTGGACTGTCACTCTTGATCGTGTCCTGACACCATGCTAGAAACAACTGACTAGTTTCTTGTTCACCCAAGTGAAGCCCACAGTGCTCAGCTACAGAATGAAACCCAAGACCGGAGGTCACAGAGTGTGACCACTCAACAGGTCACAGGACATGTGGCCACACACCAATGGCAGGCACAGGAAAGACAAGGCCTCATTAGCAGCCTGGGCTTCCTCTGAACTCATGGTCCTCCTGTCGCAGCCTTCCAAGACCAGGGACCATAGCTGTGCATCACCATGTCCAACAGAGACAAGAACTTCTTTGAAGGTTGTTGACTGGAGCAACAAAAGGAATGAGAGACTTGGTGGACTGGAGTGCTGTCACCTAACCACGTAATGGCCTCTGTGATGCACATTTAACTGAAGATGCCTAAAGGTGACAGAAGGCTCACACTAATGTCCCCACTCCACTGGCACCATTCATATACCACCTCTTCTCCTGGCCTCTGAGATGTCTTTCTGTGACCAAAACAAATGTACCTACTACTTGAATAACTTCCAAAGTCAACACAATTCACAACAAGAAAACTCTTGTGAGTGAGGCACGGTGGTGCATACCTTCAATTTGAGAACTCAGGAGGCAGAGGCAAGCGGATCTCTGTGAATTCCAGGATACCAGGGCTATAGAAAGACCGACTAAAAAGAAACAGAAAACAAATAACAATAAAGAAAACCCTGGTGAATATAATATACACCACAGAATCCCACTGGGCTTAAAAGCTGCAGTTTCCAGCAAAAAATTAAAAATCTGCAGCTGAAGCAACACATGGTATTGCCAAGGCCAATGTGGTGCTAGCTTCTTCTTTTTTAAAAAAGATTTATTTATTTATTTTATGCATGTGAGTACATTGTTGATCTCTTCAGACACACCAAAAAAGGGCATCAGATCCCACTATAGATGGTTGTGAGCCACCATGTAGTTGCTGGGAATTGAACTCAGGACCTCTGGAAGAGCAGTCAGTGCTCTTAACCACTGAGCCATCTTTCCAGCCCAGCACTAGCTTCCTACATAAGGTACTCTAGTTCTACTGTACCTCTGGGGTAGAGTAGGGAACTCAGACCTGGAAAGAAGTGACAAGGGTATATGGTACAGGCCTATCTGCACTATTTGGGTTTCAGATGGGATACTCTTTAAACAAAGAAAGAAACAAAACAAAACAAAACCAAAGTTCTCTAAGTAGGCCCAGCTAACCCTGAACTCATCATTCTCACCTTCCTAAGTCCTGGGATCACAGGTATACTCAAATAAAGGAAAAGTTCCTTTTTTTCCTTTCTTTTCAGTTTTTTTTTTTTGAGACAGGGTTTCTCTATGAAACCCTGGCTGTCCTGGAACTCACTCTGTAAACCAGGATGGCCTTGAACTCAGAGATCCTGCATTAAAGGTGTGTGGCACCATGCCCAGCTCTAAAGAGGAACTTTTTTCACATACATTAGCCAGGCCAGTTCTAGCAAGAGTGGAACACGGCTTTCATGAGAACTGTTTTGTACGGGTTGGAGAGATAACTCAAAAGTTAAGAGCACTGGCTGCTCTTTCAGAGGATCCAGCTCAGTTTCCCATAGGTAGCTCATAACTGTCTGTAACTCCAGTTTCGAGGGTCCAACACCCTTGCACAGACATGCATGCAAGCAGACCACAAATGCGCATAAAGATAAATAAGTAATTCTAAAGCCCACTGCTGGAGACATAGCCACGAGGCCAGAACAGAAATGTCCACCTACCTCGTACTCTTTCAAGGTCCCCTTCCAGGCGCATCCATCATTAGGACAGACAGCTGGCAGGCTCTCCACCTCTCTGCGGGCAGCGTTATCTGGAAAGGCCTGGAACAGGAACGTCCTTGGGTTACACCTTCTCCCAGTACCCTACTGTTTATGAAGCAACAGCTAGATCAGAGACCCTATCCAAAACAACCTGTGCCACCCTCCTCAGCCAGCATATGGGGCAGAAGGTAACTATGGACCAGCCAACCCATGTTTCTCAGCCTCTCCAACCCTAAAGAGTCATGAAGAGGCCACTTCAGCTCCCAAATTCTCATTCTGTTACCAGTGTTACAGAACAAAACTGCTAAACACTTTCTGTTCATTTTGACATGTTTAGCTCAATACAGTGTACTTACCGAACTACTCTCTAAAATAGAAATGCCTTCTTCATACAGGCCTTCATGGACGCAGGCAGCACAGTTCTGAGGCCCAGAGCTGGTGGGAACAGAGGAAACACAAAGTCCCACTAAAATGTCTGCTCCCGAGAGAGAATCCCTGAGTACTGTCTGCTCAGCCCACAGCCCGGCTCCACACTGCATTCTGCACCTCTCTCATCTTTGATCAAACTAGGATGCCAACGGTATAATATCATAAAAAGTCACAAAAGAGAGGGTTCCATGTGGAAAAAGGTATCAGGGCCTGAGCCTGCAAGGACAACTCATCTTGTCCTTTTTCTTTTTGAATTTGTAATGTCAGGGATCAAGCTAAGGTTTCATGAGTGCCACGTAAGTGCTTTGTTACTAAGCCTTGACTGCAGGCCCTAGCCTCCAAAATACATGGCAGAAAAACGTGGGTGTGTTTACTTTTCCACGTGCACTGCTGCTGCCCTTTCATACTACGGCAGTGACACACATCAGCTGCCGACCCGTGTGACATTCAATCTACCCACTCAGAGCAGCCTAAGGGAGCTATAATCCCCACACTAACCTTGAGTGCCCGTGAAACCAATATTTAATCCCACATGTCCAAAAATAGTACTTCAATATATAACCAATGTGTGTGTGAGAGACAGTGGGGGGGGGAGATAGAGAGGGAGAAGAAAGGGGGTAGAGAAAGAGAGACTATAGGTGCATCTACATGTATATGTGGAAGCTGGAGGTCACATATCAGGTGCCTTCCTCAGGTGCCACTCAGCTTTTCCAGACAGAACTCGTCTCCAGGCATGCGATGTGATTCCAAGTACATATTTCCATGCCCAAGTTTTTACAGGGTGGAGAGGACCAAACTCCAGTCTTGATTTCACAGGAAGCACTTTATCTACCCTTCCTCCTTGTTTTGTTTTTAATTTTTTAGTTACATTTTTAAAATTTACTGTGTATAGAAACATGTAGCAAGGTGTGCTGGTGGAGGTCAGAAGACAAGTCAGCTCTCTCTTTGACTATGTGTGGATCTCAGGCCCACACTCAGCCCATCAAGCTTGTACCAAGTGCTTTCATGCACTGAGCCAGCTCTCTGATGTCTGTTGTTATTTTTTGAGACACAGATCTGAGGTTGGTTTTAAACTTGCTACATAGCCAAGGATGACCCTAAACTTCTGATCTTCCCATCTCTACCTCCCAAGAGTTGGAAACAAAAAATGAGAGAGAGAGAGAGAGAGAGAGAGAGAGAGAGAGAGAGAGAGAGAGAATGAGAATATACCACCATACCTTGCTATGATCAGTTCTTTTTTTTTTTTTTTAAGGTAGCCCCAGAACTCAGCTGTAGATAAGGCTGACCTTGAACTCATAGAGGTCCCCTGCTTCTGCCTCTTGAGTGCTGAAATTAAAGCATGTTCCACCTCACCCAGAAACAATCAATGTTTTTTAAATAATAAATTTTACATTCTTGATTTGAGCTAGACCCCATGGAGAATTTGTACTGGCAACCACTCTACTGAACAGTGTGCAATCTGACTTCAAAGCCACCCACCTGCCCCTGCCCACCTGAGTAGAATGGCATGCACACCTGAGGATGCTGGTCAGACAGAAGGAGCAGTAGCGGTGCCCACACTGGGCCTGGAAAGGCCTCCGCAGGATGTTTCTGCAGGCTGAACACAGGTACTTGGCTTCTAACCTGGTCCCCAAGAGGGTCTTGGAGAAGCCAGGCTGCAGCAGTTCTAGGGAGCCAGGGGGAGTCACACTGGCTGCAGCCATGTGAGTTATAACCCCCACACACCACAAAGACCTAAAGAAAGACACAGACCATATCATACCTCAATTTAGAACAATCCTCTAGAACAGTCTTCTCAACCTTCCGTTAGGTGCGCCCTTTCACACTGTCCCTTATGCTGTGGTGACCCCCAACCATACAATTATTTTCATTGCTACTTCATAACTGTAATTTTGCTGCTGTCATGTAATGTAAGTATCTATTTTCCGATGGTCTTAGGCAAGCCCTGTGAAAGTATTGTTTCATCCTCAAAAAGGGTCTTGACCCACAGGTTAAGAACCGCTGCTCTAGAGGGAAGAAGGGAGGGATCTACCGGGAGGCAACCTTGTGAGGCGCCTGGGTCATTACACACTACTGACCTTGAGAGACGATGTAAAAACAGGATCTTAGAGTTCTGGGAAGCTTCGGAGATAAGGGAAGCAAATCTCCTGCTACAAATGTGGGAAGAGATGTCCATAAGAGTGACAGACCTGGTGGCACCCACAATAACTAATTCATGAGCTTCCTACCTGCTGTTATCAATCCTGGCTGGACACTTCCCGCTGACACTACCAGTCAGCATCTTCCAGCCTACACTCAGTCTCTACAGTAAACACGGGTTAAGATGGTGGACGGCTTCTGAAGCATACCATAGGCCGGCAGGGCAGGTCCTGGACAGCACCCTGGAGGTGGCCTCACCTGAGCATAAGACACACTTATAGTACATAGTACATCACTGATCACTGCGCTCCCTGTTGGGTATCCGTTCTCCACACTGCAGGGGGAGCACAGCCTTCAAGCCCCCCTTCCTATCAGTCCAGATCTGCCTCCTGCCTCCTCTCCAAGATGCTGCACTCAAAGCCAACTGGAGCCCATTCCTCTCGCATCCTCTAAACATCACCCGCACACCACAAGAGCCACCTCTGCTTGGTCCATCGTGTTTTCCTTTTCTATCAACTTAGGCTCTTCAATGACAAGCTCCTCCCTCATCCTCTAGCACAGCAGCCTCTCCTGGGCTCCCTCTCAACTCTCAGAGTAATTACACAGCGAGCCCCATTGTCTCAGAAAGAAGTCTACTTGAGCTGAGGCAGGTGTGGAGAGGCCTGGACTACCCGCAGTAACAGCATGGTACCTCCACATCTGCCAATGGCCTCTCCCATCTGGAGACCACCATTTCCACCTCCTGGCTGTACTTCCATCTCCGAGGCAGCCTAAAGGCTGGGGGCAGCTGCTAATCACACTTTCTGCCAACCAGGGTTCTTTAGAGCCTTTGAGGGGTGTGGGAGTATAGCTGGTGCTCTCAAAAGAGCAAGCTAGTCCCTAGGAGACAAGGGGGCATCTGGGAATGTGGGTTGGAAGGACGGACATGACCTCCCAGGGTCTTAGCTGTGAAGCAGGTGTTCAGTCTCAGCTGAGCTTAAGAAGTGGGTGAAGTGTCCTGAGAAACAGACTGTAAAGTGTCTGCTATCTGAGACATGCTGAAGACAGGGAGGCCATAAGCAGCTGGGAGCAGCAGCATCTCCCGAGGCCTCTTCCCAGCAAAACTCCAGTCACCTTTCATTCAGTTAACAAATCACCTACCAGGACCATTCCCACACTTCAGTTCCAGAGGCAATTCCCTGGCTCCAGAACAACAGCAGCATAGGGTGCCTGATGCCTGCACAACTGCTGGACAGGGCCTTGCAGCCTCCGTCAAATCTTGTTGGCCTCACTGACCTGCCTGCCCTGCTGTCTTGATGTCCCTCAAAGCCTTGGGGCATTCACACTCTGGCATGAACAAGGCCGTGTCCAGCAAACCACTGGTGGAAAGCTATGGTGTGGAAAAACAGGCTGTGGGTCTCTGCCACAGTGAGTCACTTGACTCTAGGTCTACTGGCCTGCAAAAATGAGTGACTGGCCAGTCTGCCAAGGGTAGACCTCCCTCCTCCCTGCCCTAGGGACTCATCAAGCCCATAGGTTCTAGGTCCACTCTGTGGCCAATCCTGCCTTCTCTGACGGACACCCTGCCCTCTGTTCTGCACACCTAAACACCACCGTCCATAGTGCCAAGCAACACTCAGAAGAACATCAACTACTCAACACCTACACAATCTATGCTGTGACCCCTGACCCTTGACCTGCTGCTCCCAAACACTCCAGCCCTAGGCCCTCCTTCTTGCCTCCTTTGGTAATCAGGTACTCAGAGACCCAAGAGATCACAGAGAGACCCAAGCACCAACAGGACATGACTAAAGAAACACAAGCATGGCCTTTCAAAGCAACGTTCATTTTAAAGACAACTGTTACTTACAAGCATCTTACTCTCCCTTCAAGCACACTCTGATTCTGATGACACATAGTAAAACAATCTCACACCATTCACAATGCACTGCGAACAGCTGTCACCTGTCACCTTCTTTTCAACAAATGTTTTTCAGATGCTCCAAACTAGCATCTGGTCTCTGCTTTTTGTGTTGGATTCTGTGAACCAACCTTTGGCTGAGGGTGTTGAGTCCAGAAGCAAGAGTCCTACCTGGACAGAGCCCAGCAGTCTGCAGAGCTCACATGGAACTGTTCTCTGTGTCTCAAAGAAGAAATTTCACCCATTCCCCTAAAATAGGGCAACTTACTGAAGAGCACAAGCAGAAAGCATTTTTAACTATAAACCTTTGAGGTCTAAGACAAGTACACACAACTTCTGCACCACAACTTCTGCATGTCCTCTCCCCCTGGTCACCCCTAGGAACCACTAAACAGCAACACAGTGACTGCCACACATTCGTGGAGGCACCCTTTACAAAAGGGGCTCATCCATGTCTAAGGCTGAGACTCCTGAAGGGGACCTGCACAGTGATGACAGCACCAAGACAGGGCTGTACTGGTGTCGCTCACGTGCAGGACACAGCTGGCACATCCCTTAGTCAATCACTATTCTGCATATGTAACTAAATGACCCTGTGTCCCAGCTCATAGAGAATATGTATAACTTACATCTGCTCTAAGTGCCCAATAGGGTGACTAGCCCTGGGCAGGAGCGCAGATCTGACTCTCTTTCTCTGTAGTGGATGGATGCATCTCCTGGCATCACATTTGTATCTGCTTTGTGAGAGGAAATTCTCTAGAGCTTACAGGTAGCCTGAGCAACTCAGTGAGACACCACGTCCAAACCCCAAGCTGGCACCAAAAAACTCCATCAAGATATGAATGCAGGACAGGTTTTATAAGGAATACTGACCTGGGTGTGGGGCACCACTCATCAGAAAGCAGTTATATACACAACCACCTAAGAGCAAATTAATTTAATCAACAGGAAATATGTGGGACTGCGTAAGGGTATCCTGGGTCACGGAATATAGGGCTGGAGAGATGGTTCAGCAGCTGGGACCTCTCCCTGCTCTTTGAGGGGACCAGAATTTGGTTCCTAGCACCCATGATGGTAGTTAACAAACCACCCGTGTAACTCCAGTTTCTGGGGATCCAATGCCTCGTATAGCCTCTGCAGACACTGCGGTCATGTGGTGCACAGACATCATGAAGACAAACACAAAATACAAAAAATAACTTTAAGTAAACCTTCTTTAATTTAAAAAAGGCCACAACACACAGTAGGGCTTTAAACTCCATGTCTATCCTCCCAGATATGCCCCTTAGCAATCTCTTCTGCTTCAGTCTTACATGCCTGGCAATAACAGATTGGAATTTAAATCTCTCCTCTCCTCCCCTGGAGTCTCTCTCCCTTTCTCCCTCCCTCACTCTCCCCCCTCCCCTCACCAGGTCTCTGTGGAGCACCAGGGCTCTGTTAAGAACCTCAACACTCAAACATAACAAACACTCAAACATAACGGCTCCAACCCTGACTGCATAGATTCTCTGCTGCCACTGTGGCCTCCTGGGAGTCATAGGGATCTTTACCACACAGCATGAAGTCTGGGCCTACTCAGCTCACAACCTCAGTGGCTTCCCAGCTCTGGTCATGAAAGCTAAAGCTGCCCAACTCCATCTGTCCTATTCCTGGCTCCAACCAGTTCTTACACATCTGTACCATCCCAACATAAAAGCCTGATTTCCAGGACCTGGCCATCAGAAGGCCAGGAGTACAAGCTAGAAAGAGGAAGGAGGGATGACAGCTTCTACAGCTTTCTCTCCTGGGCCCTTTACTGACGGCTGCAGCCACATCAGTAACTACACAGTCCAGCTGGCATTGGTACACAGCAGAATCCCTTTGTGCAACACAACTGTCCAGCCTGTCACAAATTCACCTCCTCCCTCAACTCTGCACTCTGAGTACCCCAACCCTAAGACATGTCCAGGTTCCAAATCCTTGATTTTCTTTTGATCAAGCTTCCAGTTCCTACCCACTGAAATTACAACCTGCCCCAGATACTGACTCCCACGTGGGTCCCAGATCCTAGGTGCAGCAGCCACTGGGTCTCCTCCTCTATGGACATGAACAGAGCAAGCACACTACAATTATGGGATGGATGTCCAGTGTGGCATCCAGGTGGCCTCCACCCTTCTGTGTAAAGGGGCCAGGGCCAGTACACAGGGAGGACAGATGCCCAACATACGCCTTGAAGCTGCATACCCCATCTTTGACATAGTCTACAGGACCTATGGACAATTTTTTCTAGATTATTTTTCTTCTCCAGGTCATCTTGCCCACACCTGTAAAAGCTCCCACCCCATGGAACCCAGCTGCCAGGCTACACTGACAAGTCATGTAGCAACTACATGGGAAGTGGGGGCTGGCATCCCACCGTCAAGAAGGAAACCCCAAACCAACTCTTAGAAAACAGTAGTGAGAGGACAGGCAGGAAGCACTTCCTTCTTGGAAGAAGGTTTTCTCCAAGTTGACTGCTGCCATGTCCACTGGGCAGTCCAGTCTGCTGCTACTTCATTGGTGCAAGAGGAACCGCAGCCCAGAGATGCCCAGAGAACTCTGACGGAAAGCTTCCATGTGCTGCAGTGCAGGAGCCAGTAAGACGTACAGTGAGTGCACATGACCCTTGCTCAGGTGTGTGGAGGTAGTGGAGATACCCCTGAGGACCAAGCCGTGCCCCATGGTGACTAGCAAACACGAGAAAAGTAACAGGGTTCCAAGCAGCCTGTATTGTCAGAGAATAGTTGGTTCAGGTACAGACTAGGGGGTCCCAGGAAAAGAAACAGCCAATAGATAAACACCGCAAAGACCTGTTGGACAGGCAAGGAGCCACCAGTTCAGACCACAGACACTCTGCTGACAGCACTCAAGACTTCCAGCTGTACACACTCGGCTTGATAAACAACTTTTCAGCTTTTGTTTAAAACTCAAGTACTTATAAATCTGTAAGTATGCAGCAATAAAGTTGATTTTTAAAAGACTTAAATATCAATTGGGATTGCTTGGGGCCTCCACCTGAAAACAGTAACTTTGGGTCACTAAATACCACCTTTCTTAGTCAGTTACACAGGCAGGGAGGGGCCATGGTAGCAAGGCCAACTGGGGGACTGGTAGCCAGGAACTTCCAAGCTAGTGAGTTGCAGGCAAGACAATAACGACCTTGCACTATGTTCAAGGAGCTGAAAGTTTGCTTCTCCAATTTTGGGGACTGCTGGGAGTATGCCTGTGATTTCTAATCAATCTCATGTCCTTACCACCTACTTGGGGCTTCACGTCCATCATGAGGAATATACACTAGGTCCAACCACTAGGTAGGCGTCAAGAAGGAAAGAGCCCTGGGATCAGACTCCACACCCTGACACTTATACATCCCATCGAGACAGCTTCCAGGGTGGTGGTGGTGGCACAGGCACTCGGGAGGCAGAGGCAGGCAGATCTGTGTGAGTTTGAGGCCAGACTGCTTTACAAAATCAAGAGTTTCCAGAAACAGGTTCTGAGGGGCAGAAAGGTGAGAGCTGAAAGAATAAGGACAGGGAAGGTAAGCTACCAACCAACAGGGAAGAGGCCTTATGGGGGAGGTGGTGTCAGAATCAGAAAAGGCGACGCCTGGGTACTGAGAGTGCCAGACCAAATTTGACTGAAAAATCCAAAAAGCCTAAGTGCGAGGGAGGTGAGCTGTAAAAGTGCCCCGGGAAACCAGGTGTTCGCTCAAGCCCAGCAAGGCACAAGCGAGGCTCGTGGGGCTCAGTCGCGATCCCGGACCGAGATCCGGGGCACGGACCGTAGTACCGTGATCCCGAGCCACCGCGGTAGGCGCGCTGCCAGCCACGCACTGCTGCGGGCGTCTCGAACTTTTCCGGCCCCCCCTCCCGCGACTTTCAGTTTCCGGCTCCACCGTTCCGAAAAGTCTACCCACCCACCTCGCCCAGACAGCGGCGGCCCCGCATCTGACCCCCAACCGCCACTCCCAGCCCGCGCCTGACCCCGGCCCGGCCGCAGCTGAGAGTCGACCACCCTCTTAGATCCGCGCCGCCTCACCCAAGGGTCTTCGCGTGCCCGGAACTCAGCGCTCGCCGGGAACCACCCACGCTGCCGCGGCCCGCCCCGTCTGACGGACAGACGCGTGAGCCTACCAGGAGCTCACGGGGAGCGGCAGCGGGCGTCGATTTGTCAAATAGGCCGCCTTGAATCTACCCGCTGACAGACGAAAGCAGGAACCTACCAGGAGCGAGCAGGGAACCGCAGTGAGCGGTGATTGGTCATCACAGCGCGGGGGGCGGTGCTAAGCTGGTTGTTTCCCTTCTTGGCCAAGTCCGTGAAGACTTGGCAGGCTTGAGCCTCTCTTGGTTGGCGAAGGTCCTCCTGGGACAGTCGCGGTCGCTCTGTTACCTGGTGCTTGTAGACGTCAGTGAGTAAAGTCACTTGTCACCAAATGTAACTCGAGTTCGATCCCTGGGTCCACATCGTGGAAGAAGAGCAAGGATTTATGCATTATTTAATCACACACAAATTTATTTAATCACACATACAAATAGTCGAATAAATGTAATTTTAAAAGTTTAAAGAGGCCGGGCGTTGGTGGCGCATGCCTTTAATCCCAGCACTTGGGAGGCAGAGGCAGGCGGATTTCTGAGTTCGAGGCCAGCCTGGTCTACAGAATGAGTTCCAGGACAGCAAGGGCTACAAGAGAAACCCTGTCTCGAAAAAACAAACAAAAAAAAGTTTAAAGAGTTAACATTGCAACGAATATTTACAAGCAAAGAAGTGTGGACACATTGACATACTACAGCATCCGCGACAAGATTTTTTTTCTCTCTGTTGTGGGAGAGGTTTCAAGAATGGAAGGCAGGTACAAGGGGAGGGGGAGGCTGAAGCCTGGGTTCAACTCAGGTAGAAACTTGTCTCCTGGGAAGAGATGTGCAACTTCAAGTCATCTTGCAGGCCAGACAGCTGAGACAAGGATGAGTCAATGATGGGCAGGACCACGCCTTGACCCAGCCCACTTAGGGATGCATTCCTCCAGCCTCTACTTGAGGTTCATTACTTCAGGACCCCAGAGGTAGATATGGTAGTGGCTGTGTCATTGAATCTCTGGTTTTTTTCTAATGTGGACACATTGAATAGATCTTTTCTGCTTTTCACTGGAAAATTTCCCCTCTAATTAGCTTACTGAGAACAAATGACTGAGCATGGCTTGTTAGAGATGCCAAAACAGACTCTGACCCTAAAAATTCTGGTAGCAGTTTAATGAAGATCGCAAGGATTCTGGGAGCTGAGGGAGTCCAAGTGAGATCTTGCAGCTATGAAAACAAAAGCTGCTTACAGCAGGCGCTGCTGATCCTACCACATTGACTGCACCCTTGCTCCGGTAGGAGCTGGAATTCTCCTAACTGAATCAGGAATTCCACCAATAGGACAGCAAAGTTGTCCTCTTTTGCTAAAGCTCAGGCAGCCGCTGAGTCAAGCAGCTTCCTGGAGCCTTTGCCTCCAAGCAGCCATGAAGCTTATTCACACTAGTGAGTCTTCACCTGCAGAGCGTTCTCTACCAGTGGGAGGAGGTATTGCCTGAGGGGTGCGAGGGGCCTGAGAAGCTAGTAGCCTAGCCTGAAAGTAAGCTCTTTCAGTGTAGAGCATTTGCTCCCTAAGGGTAAAATGCAGGTGTGCTCTGTCTCCAGACCTCCCCTCCCCCACATCCACCAAAGATTTCATTAGCAACAGGGTGCCCACAGCCCTTAAAGGAAACAGAGCCAGAGACTGGCATTACCATAGCAACACTAAACCAGTGCAATACCTGCTGCCACGAAAATGTCACTCTAGACTTTTCTACTAGGAGATTTTATGTGCACTCTCTGGGGTTGGGGAAGGGGGCTGGTCTGCAGAGTGTATACAGAATTAGACCAGGTCAAGAGATGGGATGTGCTCTCACTGCCCCACCCACCAGTGCAGAAGTGGATGACACTGTGGGGACTCACCTCACTCACTGGCAGGGAAGTGGGTGAGTCATTATGATTATTGGACAACTCAGGGGATTCCCATGTGGGTTTCTTCCTGCTAAAAAGAAAGCAAAAGTTACTCAGCAAGACAGCCACTCAGGGCCAGGCAGAGGTTGAGGGTGTCCGTTCAGCAGACTCAGGAGGATCCACACAGCACCTGCTCACTCCCTGAGATCTGGAATCAGCCAAGAACCACTGAGAGCAGGACCTGGAGGCATGTGGCTGTACCCAGGTGCCAGGACACTGAAGAGAAAGCTGCTGTCATGGGTCACAGTGTTGTGAGCTGAGGGGCTGTGGGCTTGACTATAGATCAAAGCAGATGTAAGGGACACCAGCTACCCTGACTTGGCTAAGGCTAGGACAC